CTGCATCTACATGGTACACAGATACCCAGGCAAAATGCTCATACACACAAAATCTTTTTTAAAAATGTGTAAAAAACTTGAGGGGGGGTGGTGGCGCACGCCTTTAATCCCAGCACTCGGGAGGCAGAGGCAGGTGGATCTCTGTGAGTTCAAGGCCAGCCTGGGCTACCAAGTGAGTTTCAGGAAAGGCGCAAAGCTACACAGAGAAACCCTGTCTTGAAAAACCAAAAAAAAAAAAAAAAAAAACAAAAAAAAACTTAAACATGTGCCGGGCAGTGGTGGAGCACGCCTTTAATCCCAGCACTCCAGGAGGCAGAGGCAGGAGGATCTCTGTGAGTTCAAGTCTAGCCTGGTCTACAGAGCGAGATCCAGGAAAGGCACAAAGCTACACAGAGAAACCCTGTCTTGAAAAACAACAAAAACCTTAAACATGTATTTAGCATGTGGGTGCTACAGCGCTGGTGAGGTCATCGGAGGACACTAGGGAGCTGATGCCTTCTTCCTACCATGGGGCGGTGTGTGTGTGTGTGGGGGGGGGCATTAGGACAGAACTTAAATTGTCATGCTTACCCAGCAAACACTCTGCCCTCTGAACAGCTTGTCAGTTTCTGTACTTAACAACTTTGATACTACTGTGTGTGTGACGTGTGGGGTTTGTGCTACAGGGTACACGTGGAGGTCAGAGGACCACCAGAAGTCAGTTCTCTCCCCCTGCCATGTGGGTCCTGGGGATTGACTCAGGGCATCAGGCCTGTGAGCTGAGACATCTGACTTTTTTGTTGTTGGTGGTTGTTTTTTTTTTTTTTTTTTTGATTTTTTGAGACAGGGTTTCTCTGTGTAGCTTTGCGCCTTTCCTGGAACTCACTTGGTAGACCAGGCTGGCCTCGAACTCACAGAGATCCGCCTGGCTCTGCCTCCCGAGTGCTGGGATTAAAGGTGTGCGCCACCACCGCCTGGCTGGTGGTTGTTTTTTTGAGACTGGGTCTTACTACGTAGCCTTGGCTGGCCCAGAACTCAGAGATCTTCCTACCTCTCCCTCCTGAGTGCCAAGACATGGCTCAGAGGTTAAGAGCACTTGCTGTCCTTGCAGAAGACCTGAGTTCAGTTCTTAGTCCTCACACCAGGTCACTCAGAATCCTCTAATTCCCAGCTCCAGGAGAACCAATGCCTCTCTTCTCCAGGCCCTCACTCACACACACAAGCCCACAAGCAGACACACCCACCCACATGTAATTAAAAAACAAATCTTTAAAAGTTTGTGCTACCATGCCCAGCCTAATCATGCTTTTTGAGACAGGGTCTCTCACTGGCCTGGAACTAGCCAAAGGTTAGGCTGTCTGGTGGCAAGCCTAGGACCTGCTTGTGTCTGCCTCCTCAGCACTGGGTTCTGGGGATCAAGCCAAGGTCCTCATGTTTGGGAAGCAAGGACTTTACTGACTGAACTATCTCCCTGGCCATCTCTATGGTTTTCACTCTGACTGCTGCAAACACAAAGCCAGGTGTCTGTCTGGACCACTGGTGTACTGGAGGGTTTCTCTATATATCTTTGGCTGTCTTGGAACTCGCTCTGTAGACCAGGCTGGACTTGAACTCAGAGATCAGCCTGCCTCTGCCTCCCAGTGTTGGCATTAAAGGCATGCACATGTGTGCACCACCACCGCCGCCTGGCCAATTATGTTTTAAGTGATGTTAGACCTCTGTAATTCTGCCACTTAGAAGGCTGGGGCAGAAGGATGGATATGAGAGGACCCTGGGCTGCACAGTTTGTCTCAAATGCTACCACTGGTTGGGTGGGGTGGCGTGCGAGCACGCGCGCGCACGCGCACACACACACCCTACCACTTGGGGCAGAGGCAAGCAGTCTCCAAGCATGAGGCCAGCCTGGTCCACACAGTAAAATCCTGCATTAACCTCCATGCCGTGGAAACACACACACACACACACACACACACACACACCAAACAAAAACAAAGACAAAAAAAAAAAAAAAAAAAAAACTAACCATCTATGACCAAGAACTGAGAATGTACCTCAGTTGGTAGAGTTTGGTAGGCACAAAGCCCTGGGTCTGATCCCCAGAACCAAATAAACTAGATGTGGTAGTGCACACCTGTAATCCCAGCACCTTGGACACAAAGGCAGGGGATCAGGAATTCAAGGCCACTCTCAGATTCATAGCAAGTTCAAGGTCAGCCTGGTATATGAGTCCTAACCCTGCCCTCACAAAGAAAACAACAGAAGAACAGTTTGAAAAACTGACCAAACCATACACCATAGGGCCACCAAGATCTCTTCTGAGTGCCTTAGCCCCAAACCCACCTCTCCTTCAGGCACTGGGACCTCATCACCAAGAAAGCACACAACCAGGGATGCGCACCGGCTGCTTTATTGACAGGCTTGAGTGATAGCTGTCCCCGAACCAGCCCTACCTTTTCTACAAAAGCAAGTGAGCAGGAAAATGGGCTCCCCGGCAAAGCCCAGCCGAAGGACCTGGTTGGTCTGTGGCCTTGACTCCCAGGCCACAGGCTGGGAAGGATGGGAAGTCCAGTTCCCCAAGGGCAAGGCGCTGGTGAGGTGGCTGAGGAGACGGGAGGTCCCACAGCTATTCCTTGCCTGAGATGTCAGGAAACTGTCACCAGAGGAGCCAGGAACCTAAAGCTTGGGGCAGGGGTGTGGGCTGAAGAAGGGAGCAACTTACAGGCTTTCAGAGTTATTTGAGGCATAAGGTTCTGAAGTTTGAGGCCACCCTGGGCAGCATGGTGAGACCCAGCAACCCCTCACCTCCACCCAACCTGCAAGCAGTCACAGCCACCATTACAGCCACATCTGCAGCCACACACACACGTCTACTCATTCACATCCACTCCATACACAGAGGGAGGGCTGTCACAGTCCTGGACCTACACCCCGGAATGTCTCTGGATTGGTACCCAAGTCGGGGACTGCTGAGGGGGCAGGTCCTTGGTATTGCTACTGATTGGCTGCCTCGCAGGCGTCTATCCAATCGCTGTACACGTCCACTGGTTCTGACAGATCTGAAACACTGGTCAAGGATGATCTGTGGCGATGAAGCCCCTCCTGAGCCCATTTCTGCTATGACAGGTCCAATCAGACCCCTGCTCTGGGCCTTGTCACTCCACTCGTGTTAAGTCAGTAGACAATGTCCATTCCCCCAGGTGGCAGTGGCTCCAGAACTGGCAGGAGTGACCGACAGTTCCTTGTCTTTGGTTACCAGCCCCTGAGCAGGTCAGGACAGCCCCGACTCCCACCCACTTCTCCCATTCTCCGGGGATCAGATGACTTTCCAAGGATACATGTGATGGGTGTCTGGAATTCCTCTAGGCACACGGTACAGGAGATAACTCCAGTGTTGCGAGCTCGGTCCCTGCAATGGGGCAAGGTGGAAGGACGCATGAGAAACAAACCCTGAGCCTGTCCTGTGGGGGCAACCCCGCCAGCAGGAAGGCCCAGGGTAAACAAGGCGGAAGACAGAGGCCTGGAGGCCCATGGTGGTGGGCTGGCCCACCTTAACCACCCACTTACATTTTCACATCACAAGACTTCTCATGGTTGCAGAAGGGGCAAGTGAACTGGGTCTCCAGGGTACCTGTCATCTTCTTCTTGGGGGGTGGCTTCCGTTTAGACTTCCTTCGTCCCATGGCTACAGGGAGATGAAACCTGTGGGGCAGAGGAGGACAGGGGTCAGAAGTTGGTGGCCGCTCTCTCCCTCCACTCTCTGGAGGCAGGCTGGAGGACCAGCAGTGGCCCGTGGAGAAAGGAAGATGTACACTAGGACATGCAGGCTTCTACCCGAGGAACCCAGGCTCCTGACCTTAGGCACAGCCGTCCCTGTGTACACTCTGGGCTGAGAACAGCCGTTAACCTTGGTTTCTCAACTTACTGTGTGACTCTAGGTAGGTCACTTAAGATCTCTGTGCTCAGAAGAAGGTAGGGGTGGACGGCGGCTGCAGAAAAAACAGGACAGAGGGAGGGTACTCAGCACAGTGAGCGCAGCCGTAAGGGAGGCAGGAGTTGAGTCCAAAGAGCGACTAACGATAAAGTCAACTGAGCACGCTAGTCCAAGTCCAGAGCCTACACAGAGGCCAGGTACAGTGCTTCCTATCTGTGACCCGGCACTCTGCGTAGGGACGGCAGGCAGAAACAGGAGAATGTTTGGGGGCTTGCTGGCTAGGGACAAAACATGATGGAAGGTGTGGACAGACTCCCCAAACACTAGCCCTCTGACCTCCACATGCATGACGGAGGACGTGTGCCTCCCCTGATCCCGAGTACAAAGTCTCAAGTAGGCCTGGTTTTTGGGGGGTGGGTGGGTGGGATGGGAGTAGGGTGGCAGTGAGTGAGTGAGACAGGAAACAAATCAACTGAACAAGTGACAGTCGTGTTTGGGTGGTGCCCAGAGCTGTGATGGGGACAGAGGTTGGGAGGAAAGGCCCAACTGATAGCTTTGTGGGTCTTTTGCTCTCTTAAAAAAAAAAAAAAAGAAGAAAAGAAAGAAAGAAAGCAGGGCAGTGTCGGCATGCACCTTTAATCCTAACACTCAGGAGGCAGAGGCAAGTGGGTCATGGTCTATGGAGTGAGTTCTAGGGAAGCCAGGGCTACATTGAGAGATCTTGTCTCAACCCCCGCCTCACAAAGAAACAAAAACAAATCCAAAACCAAACATGGTCTCCATTCTCAAATATCAGAGGATGACTTTGACCCCTGATCCTCCCAAGAGCTGTAGGCATGAGCTGCCTGCCACGCCCGGGTTCCCCCGACACTGTCATGTTAATACTGATTATGGACTTGACAGACTCTAGATCACTTGTGGGAGTCTGGGCCCACCACCCAGCCATCTTGATTAGGTTAATGACCATGGGAAGACCCACCCTAAAGGAAGGCAGTGCCATTTCTTGGGCTTCGGGATTACTGAAAGCTGGAGGCCATCTTGGGCAACAAAATAAGTTCAAAGTTACCATCTTAAAAAAAAAAAAGGCAAACTCCCTTTGGCAGCACATACGCTAAAATTGGAATGATACAGAGCAGATTAGCATGGCCCCTGCGGAATTTTTAAGACATGCAAATTCAAAAGGCAAAACATATATATATATACACACAAACTACAATAAAATTTTAAAGATCTGTGTTAATACATTGTTTTGGGTTTTTTTGTTTGTTTTTGGAGACAGGGTTCCTCTGTGTATCCCTGGCTGTCCTGGAACTCAGAGAGCCGCCATTAGCCTGGCTCTGCCTCCTGAGTTCTGGGATTAAAGATATGCACCACCACAGCCAGGCAACGTGAAAACTGGGTGATTTCAGCTGGTAGTAATCTAGCGTATAGAAGGCTCTAGGGTAGTGGTCCTTAACCTGTGGGTCTCAGGGTTGCATATCACAAATTTACATTATGATTCATAACAGTAGCAAAATTATAGTTATGAGGCAGCAATGAAAATAATTTTACGGTTGGGGTCACCACAGCATGATGAACTGTACTAAAGGGTCGCGCACTAGGAAGGGCGAGAACCACGGCTCTAGGGGCTGTCGTGCCCAACCCATTGCTTTCATGATTCAGTTACTGGGGGCTTCATTGAGCTGCACTGGCTCGCTCAGGAATCCTAGCACCAAAGAGGCAGAAGTAGGAGGATTGCCACATGTTCAGCCAGCCTGAGCTACACAGTACAGCAGACCAACACAGAACAACAAAACCAAACCATGCATGTTGGTTTGGCATGCAACCCCAGCACTTGGTAGGCTGAGGCAGGATGTTGTCATGAGTTGGAGGCCACAGACTGTCTCACAATGGGGCTGACCCAGGTTCAATTCCCAGCATCCACATGGTGGCTCACAACTGCCTGTAACTCCAGTTCCAGGGGATCTGATGCCCTTCTCTGGCATCCTAGGACACTGCACGCGCATGTGGTGCATCCATACACATAAGATAAAAACAAATAAATATTCAAATGATCTGTATTAATAAATAGTTACAGATGACAGGCGCGCACGCTCTCTCTCTTTTTGTTTTTGTTTTTCGAGACAGAGTTTCTCTGTGTAGCTTTGGTGCCTGTCCTGGAACTCACTCTGTAGCCCAGGCTGGCCTCGAACTCACAGAGATCTGCCTGCCTCTGCCTCCTGAGTGCTGGGATTAAAGGCGTGCGCCACCACCGCCGGCAGATGACAGGCTCTTAACAAGAAATCTCATAACTGGATGAATCTTAAAGATCACTATGAGGTTATTAGAATTAAATCAAATTTTCTGAGACGGGGCTACTTTGGGTGAAAGCAGAGCGAGTCATTTAGGATGAAGCCTGGATGACGACAAAAGGCAGCTTTGATACAAGAAAGCCAGGAAGAGAGAGATCTGCAAAGGGTCTGAGGCCGATGAAGTGTTTTCTCACTGTTTTACCTCAGAGAGAATGGCGGAAGCTCTAGGAGCAACAGGGATAGAGTATGAGATGCACAGAGGAAAGTATAGGCCAGACCCCAGACCTGGAAGGATGGGTGGCGTGTAGTCTGGTCCCGCAGCTGTTTCCCCTCCAGTCTGGTCCTGGCAACCACCTACAACGGAATCACAGAGCTTCCCCAGGCCATCTCGGGCCACCTTAGTCGATCCTGTCTCGGCTGGTACAGGCACTGCTGCCACGCCTGACAAACTGAATATGGTCCCCGGAATCCACGTAAAGGTGGAAAGAGAGAATGTACCCCGCAAGTCGTCCACTAACCTCTGTACACAGACACATAATACACATAAAGATTTCTAAAACTTTCAAAACAGGGTAAGCAAGATGGCTCAGCAGGTAAAGATGCTGGTTGCCAAGTCTGACAGTCTGAGCTCAATTCCCTGGACCCTCACGGTGAACGGAGAGAACCGGCTCCTGCAAGCTGTCCTCTGTACACTCACATACACCATGCAGAACAAAAATTCCCCACCCCCATCAACTCCTTATAGGTCGTCCAGCGTCTACATCCCTGCCCATCCATCTCCGAGGAGGGATTTCACTTGGCCACTGCTCAGTCCCCAGCATGCACAGTGTACACCTCAAGCACTTAAAAACCACTTGTTGAAGGAATCAGAGTTTACTGAGTCCGTGTGTGGCCCCAGGATCCCATCGGCAGGCTGCATCCCATCCCACCTGCGAACAAGCCGTGACGTCTCGAGAGAACCGGGGTGGCGGGAAGGGGTCGCGGCGGAGGAGCGACGCCATCAGCCTCCCCCAGGCTTCGGTGGCGCGGCCGCTCGCCCAGCTGCGGGGGTCCGGTGCTCAGGCACCTCACCCACGGCCGTCCGCAGAGCCAGGCCCCGGCCTCGGCTCCACGCCCGGCGGGTGATCCAGACCAGCGCACCCGGCACCGCCCGGCCCAGCGCCCGAGACCCCCGCACCTACCTGGACCAGCCCGGCCTCGCAGCCAAAGCCGCTTCACCCGGGAGACGCTAACTTCCGGCCCCTGACGGAAGCGGAAACGTATCGCTTTGGTTTCCCGCCTGCTCCGCAGCCGAGTGAATGATCGTGTAGACCCCGCCTCCTTCAACTGCCGGTCTCTGCGCGCGCGCGACGTCTGTTGGAGCGCATGCGCTCCAGCGGGTTCCCAGCGAGGTGCCTGGAGCGGCGGTCGTGTGATTCGCTGTCCGTCCATCTGTACTCTCCCTGGCTAAGGTCCTCGCCCATGACCACCATCGCCTGGTCTCCCCTCGCTGTCTTCTCCCGTTACAGCTTCTCCCCCGGCAGCGCACCTGGGTTTCCCCAACCTCCATGCTCACTCAAATATCTAGCCCTAGAGGAGACTAGCTGGGAAGAGGAGGGCGATCAGCGGGAGTGAGGGACCGGGGAATGGGTGAGGGGGGTAAACACGATCAAAGTACATTATATACACACGTGAAGATGGCACAGGGAAACCCACTATGTATGATTAATATATGCTAATGCAAAACAAAAAATACCCCAGCCCTAACCCTGATGGTCTGTAATCCCAGCACCGAGGAGGTGGAGATAGGAGGATTAGAAATTCAAGGTCGAGCCGGGCGGTGGTGGTGCACGCCTTTAATCCCATCACTCGGGAGGCAGAGCCAGGCGGATCTCTGTGAGTTTGAGGCCAGCCTGGGCTACCGAGTGAGATCCAGGAAAGGCCCAAAGCTACACAGAGAAACCCTGTCTCGAAAACCAAAAAAAAAAAAAAAAAAAAAGAAAAAAGAAAGAAAGAAATTCAAGGTTGAGCCCGGAGGTGGTGGTTGGTGGTTCACTTCTTTAAGCACTCGGGAGACAGAGGCAGGTGGATCTCCAAGTTCCAGGCCAGCTTGGTCTACAGAGCGAGTTACAGGACGGCCAGGACCACACAAAACCCTGTTTCGAAAACAAATAAATGCAAGGTCATTCTTGGCTATTGTGAAGGCTATTCTTGGTTGTCAACTTGACTATATCTGTAATGAACTACAATCCAGAAATGGAGGACATACCTGTGAGAAGTTTTTTGTTTGGTTTGAAGTGGGTGAGTCCATTTCCAGTCCAGACCTTTGAGGCAGGAAAACACAGCTTTGATTTGGATCTTGAGGTGGGAAGACAAACACCTTTAATCCAAATCTTGAGGTGGGAAGACACACCTTTTATCTGGGCCATGCCTTCTGCAGGAAATCTATATAAGGATGTGGAAGAAGGAAGCTTTTGATCTTTGCCTGCCTCCCCTCACCTTGTTAGGGAATCCATTCCTTCTCTGACATTGGAGCCTACTTCAAAACCAGCTGAGACACCCAATCTTGTGAGACTGAGCAACTACTAGATTCTTTTTTTCCTTAATGTATTTTACAAGACAATTTTTAAAAGATTTATTCATTTATTCATTTTGTATACAGTGTTCTGCCTATATGTATACCTGAATGCCAGAAGAGGACACCAGATCTCATTATAGATAGCTGTGAGCCTGGGCGGTGGTGGCGCACGCCTTTAATCCCAGAACTTGGGAGGCAGAGGCAGGCAGATTTCTGTTGAGTTTAAGGCTGGCCTGGTCTACAAAGCAAGTTCCAGAACAGGTTCCAAAGCTACACGGAGAGACCCTGTCTCGAGTAAACAAACAAAATAGCTGTGAACCACCATGTGGTTGTTGGGAATTGAACTTAGATCCTCTGGAAGAGCAGCCAGTGCTCTTAGCCTCTTGAGCCATCTCTCCAGCCCCTACAACTACTAGATTCTTGAACTTACCATTCACAGCTAACCATTGTTGGATTAACTAGACTGCATCCTGTAAGTCATTCCAATAAATCCCATATATATATATATATATACACATATATATGTATAGACACACACACACACACACACACACACACACACACACACACGGAGAAAGGGGGTGGGGTAGAGGCATTCCATAAGGTCTGTGACTCTAGAGAACCCTGACTAATATAGCTACAAATTGAGTTTGAGACCAGCCTGGGCTACAAAGACACCCCCCCCCCCTTTTAAGGCCACTCTAGCTGCTGGAGGGAGAGTAGGAAGGAGAGTAGATGGGGTTGAGAGCTGGAAGAACAGTTTGAAAGTTGTTGCAGTAGCTGAATGGATTGTGGCCTCAGGTGGGGCGGCGTTAATGGGAACAAAAGAACTTTGTACATCTAGAAATTGAGGTATAAAGCCAAACCGTTTCTGGAACCGAGAGGCACAAATTCATATTCCCTGCAATGTATCAAAGACTATGACATGAAGGGTAGATTATAAGATTTGTGTGCAGCAGAGAGGGGCATTTGGAGCTCAGAACATTTGATGGTGGCAGAAATTGCCAGAAGATCTGAAAAGATAGAGGAGGCAGGTAGGCTGATACTCAAGTTGAAAGAGGAGCCCCAGGAAGAACTGAACAGGCAGAGGTGACGAGCGGAGGGCTGTCTTTGGCAGAGCTCCTGGGTGCTGCCCTCAGAGGAAGGAGGCTAGGGGCTCCCTAGGGAGGAAATCAAGGAGAGGATTTGGCCTGTAATAAGCATGGGGTAGAGGCTGAAGAGATGGCTCAGAAGGTAAAGTACTTTTGGGGCGAGCTTGAGAATGGGAGTTTGAATGCCCAGCACTTGCATAAATGCCAGATGGGTGTGGTTCTCCATTTGTAATCCCAGCCTACAGGAGGTCGAGACAG